AAACACAGTCAACCAAGAACAAATTAACACGCCACACACAAAGGACACTTATGCCGAACCACGGTGAACGTAGGCAGCCAAAGATTTTATTATGTGAAAATCAAGAGATTACAAATTTCAGCTCCCAAACCCTAGCTCTCGCTCTTACTCTCTTTCCCAGCAATTTTCAATGCCTCACTCTAATGATCCTTAAGTATGAGTCCTTTAATGATCCTTAACGAAAATGATCAGTTAAAGTATGATGACACTGTGATGGCATTGGGCACAGAGAAAGAAACAGTTGACAGGAAAGAACTCTAGGAGCAAATATGCAAAGGAGAGAGATATAATTCCACAATATATGCATAATATATATTGCCCATTTAAATAAAAAGTTTTAATTTTTTTTGTTTTTTTTTTTTTGATAGATTACTTAAAAGTTCAACCTGAGAAGTTACCAAACATAAATTAATTGGAGAATAACTCAATTCTTTCAAACATCTTAAGACTGGCTTCCTCGATTTGACCAATTTTCATAGTAAAAAAAAATACAAATACTTACTGGGAGTCAAAACAAAGTGGTGTTAAACTTGCCGGACCGAGGTTCTCTATATTCAAGGCGCAGAGACCTGACCACAACGTTGAAAGCTCCTCCATGTCATCAGAGAGTTGGACGATCAAGATGGAAACATACTGAAAATTGGAGGAAACACATTGATAATCGGAGGGGTCAAGATTGGAACCAGTCTTCATCATACAAAATATTTTCTTTCCCAAATGAACAAGGCAGCCCGGGGAGAATACAGGCTCATAATCCACTGGTAAATCTTTAAAGTCCAGTCTTCTAAAATACAGAGGAACGCCAATAGATTGAATGATACCATCTTTTTCAACGACATGATACGCAATCAAGTTATAACTACGTCCGAAAGTGTATACGTAATCATCAACACATTCAGCCTTTCCACCCAAGGGGGGTAATATAACCCATTCTCCTTTTCCTTTTTGACGACCTGCCACTTCTTCATTTCACTCCCCTCCCGACTCTGTAATAATAAAATTCAGTTTGGTCATCGCGGGAAAGAAAATCAGAAACTGAAATGAGAATACAGTCCTTGATGAGTGCGTAACCGGAGACAGCCCTGGGCAAATTTCGGTCCAAACGATACTCAGGTAGGGAAGCATAATCATCATCCCACCCTTTATCAGGATCCAACCGTTCGAAACACGGAGAGTCTACTTCGACGCACGAAACCCTGGTACCTCCAGCAAGCACATAAAAACCTCTTTCACGGACAGCCATCACTATGGGATGAGGTTTTGTTGCTTCTGGGAATGGAAATTTGACGCACTCTTTGGTATTTGTATCCAAACCAAAGGGCTCAAGCTGCACATATCTGTACCCCACATCCAATATGAAGCCATCAAGAACAGTTGCGATCCTGAGATGTCACAACCAACGGGTACATATGTTCTAAATTTGTGGGGGTCTTGTTTAAATGCTTTCTCTAGAGGACCAACAACTGCAACTTTAGATCCCCCTCCTCCTCCTCCTACTCGAAATTTGATTTCATAAATTCCAGCAATATATGGCCCAGTAACAAAAGTCGCAACCAAAAACAATGATACTTCCTCATCCGCCATCTTTAGTTGCCTCCCTCGATGGAATGGGGCTGTGAACGTTGCAGAATAATAAAATTCAGTTTTGTAGCGACCTGCTTTCTTCTACAGAGAGGAACTGTAGAATCTTCAAAGGCAAACACTCTATCTCAGATCAATTCGGGGAAAATTGCACTCATACACCAACCAAAACCGAATTGAATGTTTCCTTGCTCTGAAGGAGTGGGAGGACGCAGCAACTTCCCGACCTCCGCCAACACTACGGGATCCGCGACGATGTCCTTTTCATGCAGACTAACAACTCATCGTCGTCGTCTCCCTCTCTCTTTTGTAGTAGAGGGTTGCTAGGTTAGACCACGATCCACGTCTTGTATAGCGCCTTTGGGCTTTCGTTTGGGCCTTCGTTTGTCATCAGCCTGCCCTTGCTTTCTTATTTGGGCCACTGGTTTGGTTTGTCTTCAACTTTCTCATTATTTCTTTAAAATCTTGACAAAAAGAAATTTTAAAATTGGATAGAAAAAAAGAGAATAAATAATTTTTTTTTTGTTTTTTTGGTTGGATAGAAGAGAAGAGAATAAATTTCCTATATTCGTTAAGAGAGAAGGAAAGAGAAAGTTTTAATTGTTTTTATCATTATATCTAATAATATTTATAATTTTTTAATTTATAGAGGAAAGTACTGTAATTTATAACTTGTATAATTTTAGATAGTATTTAATTTAAAACTTTTATAACAGTCCACTTGTCTTCCCTCCTTTTTTTGCCCAATTTTCCTTTCTTTCCTTGTATCATTCCTACCTAACAAAGGAAATTTATTCCTTCCTTCCAATTTTCTCTCCACATCTCTTCTTTCCTTCTTACCGAACAAAGAAGTAATTAGAGTTGTTTATTTAGATAGAAATTTATGATAAAAATTAAAAGTGAAAGAAAGAAAAATCAAGTTTCTACCATGCATTTGGTTAGTATGAAAGTTTTTGAAGTTAGTTTGGGTAGGGTGAAAGTGAAAACAAATTGACTTTACTTACCAAAATTATCCTTATATATGCTAGAATTTTAAAATAAATATTTGTGCAATAGATGATGAAAACAAAATTATAATAAAATAAGGTAACCAATTTTTGAAAGTTGAATTACACATAGTAGTGAGCGAGAATCAACTAAATATCAATATATTTTCTTTTATTTTTTAACTCTCAATTAGATATTATTATTTATTTTTTCATTATTAATCACTATTTATGTCTATCTAGGGTTAAGGGTTAGTGGATTATATTAAAAAAAATATCAGTTATCCTATTTTATTGAAAAAGGAAAAAGAAAAAAAGAAAGAGTTGTTTCATAAAAATACTCATTAAGAAGAGAGTTACCCAAAATAAATACAAATAAGTTAGTTGGATAAAATAGAAAAGTTCTATTTTCAAAGTTTTGGAGAAAATTGCTCAACTGCTAGGCAATGAGTCTTCCACCAGTCACAGACTACTTCTTGCCTACGTACTACCCAATAGGTAGTGAGTAGTACAAGGCTTGGTTGGTTGGTGCAGTGTTGTAGTTAACTCTCTCTCAAGTATATAAATGCAATCTGTCACTGTATTTTGGTTCAAAACTTAGCTATATATGTACTCATGAACTCCTTTTTGACTAGCAAGTTCAAAGATCGAGTGTACTGGTAATTTTTACACCAACCAATCAAGACTCAAGAGCGAGAGTTAAAAGAGATCTACAAGGTTTTTTTTTTAAATACTACATCATCTTCCTTTGTTTCTCTCCATTCTAATTTCTTAGAAAGAGAAACTATATATATAGAGAGAGAGAGAGAAACTATAAGGAGAAAAAGTACAGTGAGAGAATGAGACTACTTTTACTTCAAATCAATGGTGTGCGTCTTTCGTTTTACCTTCCTATAATATACTGTGTTTGTACTTTGTAGCATTGTTTTTGTTGAAGTTATTCAGTTAGTATACAGTTATTAGGTATTGATATTCTGGTTTTATGCTATTATTAATAAAGTATATATATTAATTTAAAAGTGTTGACATCAAGCTTTCAATTATTTTATTCCCTTTGATCTTTATAAATTAGGTAATTCAAAATTTCCGAATGACAAAAAAGGAAAAGCTATTTGGATTGTGTAGAGTCGGAAAAAAAGAAGGTATGTGTCTTTAAATACATTTTACTTTTTTCTTTGCAGTTTGCAATGTGGTTTGTTGGTTGGTGAATACTTAATTTCTTTTAAGCAGTTTGCAATCTTTTTTGTTTTCCCTTCGTTGTTTTTTGTTTACCTTGTTAAGCTGTGAGTCTGTGACTGTTTTTCCTAATAATATGCTTATTAGGAGCAAGGGTTTTTTTTTTTAATTGCAGCTTATCATAAATTTTGTGTATGCGTAGGTTTTTGGTGCTATGTCGAGGGTTTGGCAGATGAACTCAAAAAAGGATATATATATCAAAAAAGGATAGGTTTTTTTTATAATTTTGTGTATGGTTTTTTAGTGGATACACTCATACTGGTGTATGTGTACTTAGGGTTCCATCTACTCTTTATAACCTTGCTATGGTTATCTTTCCAATTTATAAATTTCGTGTGGTGGTTGATTTATATTTCTGTTCATCCAATGTTTAAAGTTGTTAAACTATATTGTTTATTAAATCAAATCAGTTAATTTAGTAGTGTATATATAAAAATATATGCAGATTCAATGTGCAGATTTAACATGCAATGGTAAGTAATTCACGAATTCAAATCAGTTAATTAAACAGTATGCATAGACAATAAACTCTAGATGAATATCAGTACATATATACTACATTACTATCAATTTGTAGATTCAATGTGCAGATTTAATATATATATATGTGTGTGTGTGTAGATTTAATCAAATCAGTTAATATATATATATATGTAGATTCAATGTGCAGATTTAATATGCAATGATAAGTAATTCACGAATTCAAATCAGTAAAGTAAACAATATGTACAGACCATAAACTCTAGATGAATTTCTGCACATAACTACTACTTTGCTAGCAACAAATGAAACAAAACTTTAAGACCATGCATTGCAATTGAGGTAAGAGCTCATCAATAAGCCTTCCCGCCATAAACTTATAAGCTTCTTGTGTTGGATAAACTCCATCCACCTGAGAATGTGGATTTGTTTGGGTCCACACAAACTGGAAAAACCAGGCCCTACCCATCTTCTTATTGGGCTGGGCCCAGGCAGGCCAGCGGGCTACGCATCATTTTTGCACCCTCATATCTTGGGCTTGTAACGTGAAGTAAAACACTATTTACAATCTCTTCCTGCCTCCTTCTTCTTCTTCTTTTAATTTTTTATTACTTTTAGTAATATATTTTTTATCCAAAATTTACAGTACATTATCAGACATTATCAGTCATATTAATATTTCTCAAATTCTGGCACAATGTATATATATATATATATATTATTATACAACACCATATGAACAACATTAAGATCAGATATTCACAAACAAGTGGTAACATTACTCAAATTTGAAACGCATAAGCAGCCTAACAGATTTGTATTTTTCTCCCCTCCGGTCATGTAGTGGAACTGATCGGATGCCGCTTCTCAATTCTGAGACAGGCAGACATGTTTGGCCTCCAAAATCATTCTTTCCAGATGTGTCATACTCCATGACTTCAATTCGAAGTATAGCCAATTCCGGAACAGTCAATTGGAATTCAAACTCCTGATTCCATACTGGTACCCACTCATCCTCAATTGCTTTTGTGCTCCTCATTACCGAATCATATGGGACTCCGGTAATTCCAACCTGCAAATACATTAATCAATTATAATGCCAATATCATCTTCTTTTCAACAAGAAATTCGAAATAGCATAGATACTAGACACTCACAGCATCAACCCAAAAAAGAAGAAATGAATCAAATTAACTTGGGCACAATCAGGTTGGAAAGAAATGGAAGGAAAAGGAAAGAAAGAGAATGGAGGGATGTGATTTTTTTGTGTTTGGTATAAAATTTAGTAAGGAAAAGCAACGGAATGAAAGGATTTGGAGGGATATATTAAAGCATTAGTAAGTTGGTTTTGTCATTCTCCCAAAAATGGGAGGGAATGGAAGGAAAAACTAACATTTTTAATGATCTATTTTTAATACCAAATTTGCCCTTATTTTTATAAAAGATAAAATCTATGAAAAAGAGTTTTGGTAGTAAATTCATTAATGTTCTGTTAGGTATGCAAGAATGGAATGGAATGTCCATTCAAACCATTCATTTGTTTGATATGCAATTTAAAGTGGGAATGACAATTCTATTGGAACGAAAATTCGTTTATGGGACTGAAAATCCATTCCACAACTGAACTTATGGAATGACCATTCCATTCCCAAGAAATTTTTGTAAAAAAACCAATTTCCTAAAAAAACCCTTATATTCTAAGTCCAAAAACTACCACCACCACCACCATCGCCACCAACACCACTGCCTTCCCCCACCATTACCACCACCACCATCACCTTCCACCACAACTACCTCTGCATTTTAACACCGCCACCTTTATTGTCTTCCACCACCATCACTACCACTGCCACCATTGTTGCCAACCATCGCCACCTCCATTGCCTTCTACCACCACCACCTCCATCATCGCTACCACCACCACGGACTTCCATCAATGCCACCGCCTTCCACCACTACCATCTTCCACCACCACCACCTTCCACCACCACCACTGTCATTGCCACCACCCCTGTCATCATTACCGCCTCGATCGTCACAACCACCGCCACCTTCCACCACCACCACCTACACCATTGTCACCTGCTACCATTGCCACCACCATCATCGCCTCAGCCTTGAACCACCACCACGCCTTTATAGCCTTCCACCGCCACCGCTACCGACTTCCACCTCCACCGCCTTCCACATTCCACCACCACTATTGCCACCAAATTTTCACCACCGCTATTGCCTTCCACTACCACCACCACCATCGCTTTACACCATCACCACCGCCACCTCCACTGCCTTCCACCATCACCACCAACATCACATCCACTGTTTTCCACCACCACTACCACAGCCGCCTTCCACCTCTACCACTGCCGCCTTCCCCCACCACCACTGACTTCCACCACTACCAACTTTTACCACTGCCACCGCCTTCCACCACCACCACCACCACCACCGTCACCTCCACTGCCTTCCACCACCGCCACCTTCCATTACCACCTACACCACTATCTCCTTCCACCATCGCAGCCGCCACCGCCATCGCCTTCCAACACCACTACCGCTTTCCACCTTCATTACCATCGTCACCGCCATCCACCACCGCCGCCATTTATCTTAAAAAAAGAATAGAAGAATATTATTTTGTTAATTTAATTTAATTGTAATAAGAGGGGTATTTTGGAGAATTTAATTTGAAATTCATTTCATTCTAAATTTTAAATTGGTCCAACCAAATACTAGAATGGTTATTATCATTTCATTCTAACATATTTCATATTTGCAGTCAAACAATTGAATGAGAATGACTATTCTATTCCATTCCCATTCCCATTCCATTCCCACTTGCATTCCATTCTATTCATGCACACCAAACACAGTATAATATAATTCATTTCGTTTCTTTTCCCAAACACGATTAATATCATTTACCTTATTAATGAACCAAACACGATAAGTGGTTCACACTCTCCTCTCCTCTCCTTTCTTTTCTTTTCTAGGGTACCAAAGATAGCCTTAAAAGAACTCAAAACGTACTTATTAATTCCTTAAAAAAATTAAACTATTACTACATTGTTGGTAGAGCAGCCTTGAAATCTTTTCATGATCAAGCAAGGTTTCACATACTATAACTATACCAGTCATTGTACTATAGATAGCATATCATGAGAAAGAAAGAAGAGAGATCTTTGGATAATTGGAAATTTTCATATCTTACCCTTGTGTAGAAGTCTGGTGGGGAATAAAGATCAAAGTGTGTATGACTGAAATCTGAATGCCATCCTTCTCCCATATACACCTTAACCTGTTATTGGCATGAAGTGAAATAGATGATGCACTTCAACAAAAAGAAAAGAAATCTGGTACAGTTACATTACTGTTAGGAAACTGCACACCTTTAAAGTTGTCTGAACTGGAAACTCACTGGGATCAAGAACTACACCATTTTTCAAAAGGAAGTCTGGTTTTTTCACATAACCACAGCCACCGTTTGCCCTGAACATTCCTTGCATAGTCCAAAGGTGCTTTCCATATCCCTGTTAGGCAATGATAGAGAGAGAGAGAGAGAGACGGGCTCACATCACGAATAGCATGCGAGAGAGAGAGAGAGAGAGAGAGAGAGAGAGAGAGGCTCACATCACGAAAAGCATGCAAATGTTCTGACATTAATCAACTTAGTGTGACATGATGGGGATTTTTTATTTTTGACAAATAGCAATATCTTCTATCCAAACTATTAAATAGCAAGAGACGATGAATATAACATCAAAATGGAGAACTTATCATGCATAACTATTTCATTAAATTGTTGCTTCCGGGACGCACAAATCCCCTTCCACCTCAAAGGCAAAGCGTTTAGTGGTACTGTTTTAAACCCGGGAAGAAAATAAAAAAGTTACTCCAAACATCCAAACAGGTGCATGCAACTCCTCTTATTTTACTCCCATTTCACCCAGGTTGATGTAGATAAGATATAATAATATCCGCTAAAAACCAACACAACAGCAAGATACTCATAATACATTAAATGTCTTGCCAGTGATCACCATGTCAGAAGGTACTGGCATTAGTTCGTCCTGTGATGGTCTTGTGGAACAGTTTATGCAAACAACTTTTCCTTTCTGATCAGTTAAGCCATACCATAAGACCCTAAAGTTCTTGTGAATACATCCCAATACAGAATATCTCCAAGATCTTTTCTAAGATTGCCCAATTAAGATTAATACAGTTTTTGACCTGTTAGACTTGTATTTGGGAACTCAGTTATTGGTATTATGTTTCCTGAGACACGATGGACCAGTTGCCCAAGAATGTTTTAGCGGAACAACTTTACTTCCGAGTCAATAATGTTTTATCACATTATAAGATAAAAAGAAAAAAGGCAGATTATGAAATCATGGACAGTATTAAATGTGATTAAAAACCAAAAATTTGTACCCCACCATAGATACTAAAAATAGCTTGACCAAGTATATGTGTCTATATACTAGATGTTATATATCTATATGCCAAAAGAAGTGTGACCTGCATGTTAAATGCAACCATTTGAGCTCCATGCATCCACCCAATCAAAGGATTGTAATTAGATGAGTCAAAGCGTATACCCTTAGGGTATACCCTCAGCAAATTCCTCTGGGTAAACCTGGGGAAAAGAAATCGCCATAATTAATTCTAAACATGGTGAATTATAAATATATAAAGGTGAAATATTGATGTTAAAACATGTGAGGCAATGAGTGAAAATCTAATGAATCTCTGCTTGTTAGAACAAAATGTCACCAGAGTGGCAGCCTAATAGCACATTTTGTTCATGTTAGAAGTAGGATTTTGTGCATGCACCTTACTTTATATATGTTAAAGACCTATAATCTACAGGCTCAAAGAGCTATTCATCCAATCCCTAAACTTCATTGAACCATGAACCCTATCATAACTTAAGTTATCATGATCAATCAAACAGTTGCGCCACCATTTCAGAGAACTCTTGATAGGTTAACGTGGGTCTCTTGAAGTTGTGGGTAAAACCTTAATTTAGTCACCATGTAGTTCATTAAGGAATAGTACTACTCATCCTCAAAACTCCCTTTGGATTAACCAAGGCGATTCTTCAATTTCCTCAAAGAATAGAGGTTGCTGTGAAATAATGCATGGCATTGTACAAATTTCCACAGATGAAATATCCAGATGGTTGAAATAGAATTCATCAAGCTAAATGCAATAAACAAGTGGAGAATCTCTCCTATGCAATGGACGGTACAATTCACAGGGGAGGGGAGCGTGGAGAGCACCCCACCAGTGCCAAGTTCATAAACAAGTACACGTGATTGTGACTGCATTGACACAGGACACTGATTAATCTTCGGGCCTCGGCTAGTCAAAAAGTGGGGAAGGGGGGAAACCTTGCTTAAATGGATTATGCAGAAAATATAGTAGATATACCGGACAATATGCTCTGAATGTGTTCTGGTAGCATCTTCAAGCTCTTGTTCAGATAAGCTAACACGTCTGACCTTGGGAGTGTCAGCCAGCGAGTTTGCTATTCCACCTTTCAGCTTCCCAGCATGGATGCCTATTAATTTCCTATATTCAGGAACTGCATTCTGCAAGTCTTCATCCTCATCTGATTCATCCTGTAGATAAATAGTGGATCTTAAATTGAGAAGACAACATAGGGTGCACTAAGAATAGTAGCACAATAAATGTACCTCAGAATCGGTTACAGTTTCGTCTTTGACAGGTTGATTTTCATTTTCCAAAGGTCCAACTTCTGCTGAACTCTTCACCTTGTGTAAATCCCCCCTTTCCTTCTTCTGAGATTCTAGGTATTCTTTTGGTGGTTTGGTCGATATAATAAATTTTTTCTTCAGTGAGTCTGGCGAAGGGAACACCTCCAAATCTGTGTCAGGGCGCCATAGCATGTCTCCAAATGTTCCAGCGACCATCTACACAAATATTTTCCGTCATAATGATGGTAAATTCAAAACCATAAGAACAGTCAAAATCCAAGGTATGAGTTTGTACAAACTTGGGCCACTTTAGCTTGAAGCTTGGGTGTAAGGTGGTCTTCAAATGTTATTATGACAGGATATTCTGAAGCAATAAAGGCATGATCCTTAATGGCTTTTAAACACTGGATGAGCTCTACTGGAGATGTCAGTGTCCTTCAATCACAAAGAAAATGATTACTCGTAATAGAAAAAGCAGAGAAATATTGCCTTAAATGAGACCTTGGATGTTAGCCAGGGAATAAAATCTAATACTACGACCATATTTCTATGGCATTATTAGACAACAAAGCATGTGATATTATGACCTTTGTTATCAAATGGTAAAATAAACTATATATGGAACGAGCAAATAGCCAACATAAAGAAAGACACGGCGTTTGAAAAGTGTAATTTCATTCAAGTGGGTCCTTGAAGAATCTTCAATATTGTGTTCTCATCCTTTGTGGTAATCCTTTCAAGACATCAACATATGAGATCCAATTAATAGTGAACTCAATAAATGCTACACCATCTCATCCTTTCCGGTAATCCTTTCAAATTGGAGCACTATTAAAGAAAAGTAAAATCAAAATTTTTTAATAATTGTTGTGCAAATAATATATAAAATTTTAAGAGTTTTTGTTCATGACGAAAACCCAAAGCCAAAAATAAGAATTAAGCCCTATTTGGAGTATTGATCTCGCAGCCTATCACTAAGAAAAACCTCTAAAGCCAATCTCTAGTCTGTTCATACAAAAAACAAGCTCTAAAAAGCCAACCAGTCATTGATATATCCTAACAATAAGTTTAGAGGAGCTTGAGTAAAAGCAGCCCAGGAAGAAATTTCTCAATTTACTGAGAGAGGTAATGCACAAAGCTAACCTCCCTTTGTGCTATATAGTATGCTTTTTATATTCTCTCTTCTTCTTCTCTCTTTCTTTTCCTTTTTCATGTCTTTCATCACTTCAGTTGGTTTCAGCAAAACAAATTTAAAAGAGAGATAGGAAATCGAAAAATCAAACATCACTTGTATGGATGCTTACTAACACCATATTAGAGCTAAAATTTGGAAATAATGGCAGATTAACTTCATACCCTCCATGACGAACATCCACATCATTGCTTGTTGAATTTGGCCACAGATCCAATTCAATTACTCTTACACTTCTCTTTAGTGCCTTTATGATAGGGTCGACACTGCAGTCACTGCTAAGTTGATTCCCTGTTAAGTAAGAGTTGTGGCCTGTATATAAGAAATAATGAGCCAACGGAGCTTTCATGTCATGATGCACCTGGATCCAAAGACATTTTTCACAAAATAAATATAAAGAGAGAGAATCAGAGATTAAAATTAATCAAGTTCGCTAGGCTGGTGCGATGATCTGATGAGTCACGGATATATAATTTCTTTGATAGTAATACAAATGAACAAAGAAGATCCTTAGTAAACAACCCATACGAGGGTATAACCTGCAATGCACATACAAGACCTCAAGCACGTAAGTGAATACAATTCAAAGCATGTTCACCTGAAAAGAGGGCCATTACCCAGTGTTGATCCTATCATTTCAAAATATGTCCAAATAATAAAATCAAAAAGTATATAATAATGTTTATAACATTTAGAATTCAAGTAAAAACTAAATGTTGATATTTGGGCATGGCCACTATAAAGCATGATGACCGCCAAAAAATATGATAGCAGAATATGAAATTTCAGAATAGGTGCATCAAAGAAAGACAACTAGTTTAATCATATAATATGTCATTTAAACAGTAATATATGTTTAAACAAGAACAGAAACATTTCAGAAAAAACAAATTTATAAAACCATAAATTGAAAACACAACAAAGAGAAATAACGATTACCTCAACTGATGGAGAGAGAGGAGGGTTGTGGTCACTGAGAAGATACCGAAAGAAGGCTTCGAGATGGAGGCCCTTACGTTGGAAGATATTGAGATGCTTCAGACTATTGAAGATATTCTGAGCATCCTCTTTTGTTGCATTATCCTCTCCTTGGAACTGTCTCAAAAACAAATGCAGGTGATCAATACTCATGGTGCCATTATCTGAGTAATCTTCAAATACTCGCTTAATATCTTCCGGAGGTTCTGAAGCCTTCAGCTTGAATATGCGCCTGAAACAGAAACACACCTTGAAAGATTGCTTGGACATCTGTTTCAGAGAGAGAGAGGAATAGCGAGTTGTGGTGGATGTTGTTGTTCTTTTATCTTTCTTATAAATGTCTGGTTTATGTACTACATAGAGTAAGATAAAAAGAGATTGCTTGCACAAATAAAGGAAGAATGAACTCATGAAGGTGGTAAGACAGAGGTACCAAGTTTCTTAATTGTGCATTCTCGGGAATTGAGTCTCATCAAAGCGAGAATATGTTCTCAGTTTATGAGGAAGCTGTATTAATGTTCATATTCCCTTATTAATCGACGAAGAAAGTGATACATATAACATATATATATATATATATATATATATTTCAATCCAAGAGGAAAAGAGATTGCTTATGTTGGTCTGGAACTTTATTAAAGTGAAGAAAAGAGAATAAGGTATGGAAATGTGGGGCAACAGAGTGGTCCCCCAATCTCCCAACTCCCACCCAGACATTCTTTTTTGTTACTGAAGTTTCGTTCATGATTGTTTGTCTTTCTAGGTAAACATTCTGAAATGCATCAAACCACCTCTAAAATTTGTTTCCAGATATGCCGGGTCAAAATATTTATCTTTCTGTTTCCTTTTTGATCCACCGACATGCTACATGGCTGCTTATCTCAAGGAATCCAGATATACTTGACATGATGGAAAAATATAACTTACAAGATGGTGGTTCCCAATCATTTACAAGTTTTTTTGTGACATTTTATTTAGTGTCATAATAATCACATTCAAGTATTGCCTTGTTTACTAAGTTTTATTTACAGGACATTAAACATTCAGCCAAATCACACACTTGTAGACATGGTCAAAGTGCATCACCTGCTTCCATACATCCGGGCAGGGGGGGTACTTTTGCCAAGGGAATGTGGTTACTGATGTAGTTACCAAGTGAAAAGGTTCAATAAACTACATTTTGTGGCTTTTGAAGCAATTAAAAGCTCAAATACCGATCATCTTACGGGAAATGCCTACTGCACATACCATGCATGAAGCATAAATGACCAAAACTGTAATATCCCAATATTTTAATAGATTTATTAATTGGGATTAATTATTTTTATTTTATTTTTAAATGATTCGTTTGATTTAACTATAATTACTTACTTTTATATTATTTTTAAATGATTTATTTTATTTAATTGAGTGCTATTAATTGTCTTATTTTAATTAGATTATTCGTGATTATATTTGTTGAATTGTTATGGTATTTTGCTTAGTGGAATGTTATGATTGAATTTTTATTTGATTTGTGTGTATTTATACTTGTGTGAATTGTTTGTTAATTATTTGTAATTATTAGATTTAATTTAATTATTTTGCTTTAATTGGATTGGGCTTAAGAGGAGTAAGACCAATTGATGTAGTCTTGGACTTGAAGGAAGCCTTGAGTTAATTAATAAAGGTTCGTGATTATTTAAATATTTAAAATGATCATTTTTATAAAATTATATATATATATATATATATATATATATATAATTAATTAATATATATATGTAATATAATATATGTTTATATATATATATATATATATATATATATATTAATTATATATATATATATATATATATATATAATTTTTAAGATTACTATTTTATTTAATAGTCCTATTTGAAATAGGATTTGGATTTTAATGTGTATAAATATACACATAAGGCTTTAGGGTTAAAAGTTTACACGGTAAAAAAACATGAGAGACAGGGAGAGAGAAGAGAAAAAGACTGACAAAGAGGATGTCGGATCAGAAAAAGAGGATGTCGGATTTGAAAGAGGATGTCAAATTTGAAAGAGACAATCAAAACTTGAAGCGTTAGTTTCATTTCGAAACCTTCAGACGAGTTTTTCTCTAACTTCCTTCTTAGAACCTATAAGGATTTCAACTTGAGTATCAACACTTTAATTAAATTATTAATTTAAACCTTGGTTAGAATGGATTAATAAAAAATATTAAGTTAATTTAATTTGATTAAATTAGAATTAAATGGGAATATTAAAAGCATGTTTTATTATTATTTTATTTTTAGAATTATTGGATTTTAATTATATATATAGGTTATATATATTTAAAATCATTGTTATACTTGATCTGTGACCCAAGAGGGGTTAATTAGGATTTATAGAAGTCTTGGGAATTTTCTGAAATTTTTTTAGAATTTTTTTGAATTTTTTGAATTTATTTTATATTTTTTCAAAATTATTCTATAATTGTTTTCTATATTATTTTGGCAAAATTATATAAATGTTATTTATACATATACATACCGGAGGCGTCAGTATTGTGCGCGCAATAATAGGGTTGAAATCCAGTGCGAGCGAGTACATAGGAATTTGGTACACACACTAATCTGGTCCATTGGAGTGTTTAATTGTATTTGGATTGATTTGGTGTGATGCGGCGCATACTATTATGGTACGCATGAAATCTGGGCCTCTTATGTGCATATGAGCTCAGGTGAGAAGATCTGGTGTGGGTATATACATGTGAGCTCAGGTGGGATCATCAGGTGTAGGTGCATATATGTGAGCTCAAGTGAGCTAATATGGTGTGGGTACATTCATGTGAGCTCAGTGCTGTAATCTGGTGTGGGTGAGCTCACAGGAGCTGAAAGACTCCAGGTAATCAAAACGTGCCAGCACACACAGAGCTTGAATCCAGCGCATGCAAGTGCATGGTAAGTGCGTAAACGTGCGTGAGAAATCCTTGTTGGCTTGTTTCGACACTTGAAATTGAAACGGTCATAACTTAGTCATTTTAAATCAAAATTGGGTCATTCTTGAACTCAAATTTAAGGATTTTTCATCATCTTTCCAATGGTACCAATTTCATTATCAGATTCTCATCATACTAAGAGATATTTATATTTTAGTGAGACGGTATCGGAAAATTATTTACCGAAATGGAGTATTTATGAGAAATTATTTTTGACGATATTTAGTAGCATTTAAATTGGGTAAATATAATTAAATTAATATATTGTTATGGAAGGAAGTATATAAATATGTGTGTGTGTGTGTGTGTGTAAACTATTGGCAAATCAGCAACTAACTCCACTGAACTACAAAAGTTACAACTAACCCCCTGGACTATTCAATTTTGTTGCAGATGACTCCATCCAGTAGGATTTCGGCAGGTTTTTGATTGACAAATGGCATATGCCATCACGTGATGCGGATGTTTAAAATAAAGGACCAAAATGCCCTTATTCACATAAAAGGACAAAAATGTCCATGCTACCATTATAACCAAACAATCCTATTTGAGCCAATAAATGGGTTATAAACGGGACGGCCAAACACACCCTTTGTCTCCATCAAACCCGTCCCTTGCAGCAACAATGATCAAACCCAACAAATTCAGCAATGATCATAACCGAGCTCTCTGTTCGCCGGAACTAACCATCATTATCAGTTCAATTCACCATTCCAAGCACCGCCGCAAGCACTACCGATTTGGTTCCAAGCTCGCCGACTATTCCTCTCACCGCTGAGCTCAGTACTAAAATTCCCACCAAAATTATCAGTTGTCCCCTGTATATACCTCAAAACATATGAACCATAGGACGAATTCTAACAAAAAATTTGAATTTCCTTCAAAACCATCCAATAATTTGATCATACAAACAAAACCCATTAATCAAATACCATAATTGAAAGGAATTAAATTTTTTATTTTTTTTTATTATTTATTTTTTTTTGTAAAAAAAAAAGGTTCTGTAGCCAACCCAGTACTTGTATGTTCGTCGGATCTGTAATAGCACCACCACCGTTGCCGCCAACATAACACCACCAATAGAAACTCAAAGAATTGATGTTAAACCAAATTGTTAAACCCAACTGAACCACAAACCCACTCTGCCGCCACCATCACCACCAAATTAAACCATTACCATCATCGTGGACACCTTGCAAAGCCTTAATCGAAAGCAACGCCACCACCATCACCGATTCGACTTGTCTGCAGAACCTAACTGAAACCCAACAACACCACCATCAATTGCGCAACCAAACTCAACAACGAAAAATGATAGCCCGATTTAATGATGCACAAACAATTATGAAACCAAATTGAACCATAAACCCACTCTGCCACCACCATCACCACCAAATCAAACCATTACCATCATCATATACACCTTGTGGAGCCCTAATCGAACCCAACACTACAACCATCACCAACACATATATATCTATATATACACATACAGACACATATATATCTACATACACACATACAGACATATATATATCAAAAAAATTGGACTTCGAATCGATCTCACAACCCTCACTTTCTCTCTCTAAAATGAACAACAACGAACCGCTGTCTCTTCCGATGTATGGCTCTGCGGTTACCGATTTGGTTCTGGTGAGAACAGATCTTATGGCAGCGGATCCGGCGGAGACAAGAAGACAGCAGTGGGTAGCGGCGAGCGGAGCTTGATGACAGAGGATAGTAGTGATGTGTGGACTCAACGAGAGGAGCTTGTGTTCCACCTCCTTCCTCCGTTCCGGCTTCTTCCGATGGTGATGGTGGGGCTTCGTTGGCGATGCCCAAAAGTGACGTCGTCGATATTAGGGATGACCAGGCTCATCGTCGTTATCATCAAGTGACGATGACTGTAGGTTCTACGACGTCGTTTGATTTAGCTTCTCCCAACATTCCATCTGAAGCCGTTGAAGAAGGAAATGATTATAAGAAACTGCGTCAGTTTATTGGAAGGGCAATTTCGTCATTCTTCATTCCGGTGGCCTGAGTGGGCCAATTGCAATAAATTCATAGTACAAGGGGGGTTTTTATAGTTCAGGGGGGTTAGTTGCAAAACCCCTATAGTTCAGGGGGGGTTTTTGCATTTAACCCTAATTTTAAATAATCAAATATTATTATGGATGGTATTATATATATTTATATATTATATAATATATGTGTATGTATATATATATCATTTAAGATAATTAATATTAATTATTCTTATTTGATACATCTGGATAGGCTAGTTATTAAAGTAATGTTATGCTTATGAAATGCATGAGATATTTATGTGTGATTTAGTTCATCGTTAAGTTTAAAATTG